ATGTGTAATAATTAATATGTATTTGTTACTTTATAGATTTAATAGATATTTGTTGTTACTTTATTAACGTTTTTACGCCTATACTGTGAGCTAGAAACGGCTGTTGCTATGATTTTGTCTGGCTTGTGAGCTCGTTGTTGTCCTACTTTGGGATCTTCTTTTTAATAAGTTATTTAAAATGTTAAAAAAGACAGAGAAAGAGGGCCTGGCGAGGATGTTTGCCCCAGGGCCCTTGCTGGCTCCCGACACTCCTGTCATAGCCCGTAATAACCAAGAGCAGAAATCTAGAGATGTTGTAACTTTTACCTTCTATATTAGTTTTAATATATTTATTTACTAGCTGGAGTACCCGTCCCCCTGAAGGGAAGTTATGTAAGTTCATGACTAATGAAAGGTTATCTTAGGACATGAAAAATTGCTTCCCTTATATGTAATTGTAAAAAAACGCCCATAAAAAAACACCAAATGTGAAACCGCATGGACCCAACAAACCTTCACGCTAAATTTGGTGAAGATCCATCAATAGGGGGCGAAGTAGTAGTAAAAAAACGCCCACAAAAACTGCAAAACTGGAAATTTTTATGTATCTCCCCCATAGATCCAATAAACCTCCATGACAAATTTGGTGAAGGTACTTCCACAGGAGATGTGGGAGTGATAAAAATGCCCATAAAAACCCGCAAAATTGAAAATGTGTATGTAGCCCCGCATGGACCTAATGAATCTCCATACCAATTTTGGTGAAGATCCATCCACACTCTGCGAAGTAGTTAGATGGACATACAACAGACAGTACTATTATATATATATATTATTCTAGGTTTACTCCAGCGAAAACTGGATTCAGATATTTATGTTAAGTTTGTACAGTTGTTTACTTACCCTCACACATAGGTGGATAGTCCGACCAGGATTCGTTTTTCAAACAATGTAAAGACGCCGCGCCGACGAGTCTATAGCTTGTTGGACATGAGAAGTTTACGCGGTCACCGTAAGTCCGGTTGTGAGTGCTGAGCTTAAGATGCGGAGAGTCCGGCGTCAAGAGCGGACACTGGACCACTAGTATCAACAGAAAGAAAGTCAAGAACTATATAATAGTTCAAATATAAATAAATAAACAAGTGTAAATATAAAACAATGATGACAACTTAATTCAAAATTTTTGAGTTTTGACGTGCACATATTTTTACTCCAATTCGAGAACATCCAGGCACAAAACATGTCTATTATACTCTTAAAGTTGACAAATAAAATCTCATTTCCTTAAGAGCAAACACAAACGTATGTTAGATTTGTGGTTAAAATCCTTTCCATCACGACACCTACCCAACGCGACTCTCTTTCAACATGTGAAAAACCATTACTGTCGGACAGTTGTTTAATATTATTTCTTGCTGTTGTTGTCTAGACTCGAGCTGCATGAGTGCGATCAAAGCGGCCCGGCATGACCAGGTGGTTAGAGCTCGACTCGCAATCTGTGGGTCGCGGGTTCGAATCCCCGTCACACCAAACATGTTCGCCCTTTTAGCTGTGGGGGCGTTATAATGTGACGGTTAATCCCACTATTCGTTGGTAAAAGAGTAGCCCAAGTGTTGGCGGTGGGTGGTGATGACTAGCTGCCT